AAGGGGAAATTTAGTTTGGGACACCATACACGTCTTCACCATTAAAAGACAGTTGAACTCATGTAAGCTTCACCGAGTCTTCATCAATGTTCAAATAAAAGACAATCTAACACTCAAAACATAGAAGCCACGAGCCAGTTTCTGCCCTTGGTTAAACCCTGTCCACCCTCCCCCCCCTGGATATTAATGGGATTGCATGGCTGGAACAAAGGGCAGAATTTGACTCCTGGTCCTTTCAGAACTAAGCAATGTAACCAAGAAAAAGGCCTTATTTTTTACTAGGTCTTCTGGTGGACCTTCCATTCTTTACTGTGGCAGAACCCACTGCAGTCAAGTTCATGGGAGTTTTGCTGGACCTGCAAGATTAGGGTCTGAGTGCACAGTAAACCCTCTAAACGGCATTCTCCAGAATACCAACACGAGCCACTACCAAAGAACGAAGCGGCATAGCTTTGTTTGTTTACGAGGCAAGAACGGCTAGTGCCTCAGTAGAAGATGCAACACAACGGTTAGTCTGTGTTCAGGGCCCAGCCAAAGTCACTGGTTTAGTACTGGTTTAGTAGAGCCCCTCAGCTCAGTGCCTTCGTTCCTAGAGCTGGCCATCCAAGTCCCATTAGCATAAGCAAGAGCAATGCCCACCACCCCACCCGAGATCCGCAGGGAGAGCTCTTAAGAGGGAAGATCAGCTGGAATGGTCTGTGACACGCTGACTCCTTTCCGGTAGGAGCAAACAGGCTAGATTACATAGAGCACAGAATACTGACAAAATAAATAATTCACAAGGTGGTGGTGCATTACCTTTGTGATGCTAATATTCCCTCTGGTGGGAGCTGCTTTTGTAGAGTTTCCGGGTAAAGGACCACACTGCCAACAAGCACAAAAATCAACCCGTTAGCTTGGTGACAACATGTCAGCTTTGAAATTGTAAATCTTTAATGTCCTTTTTTTTTTGCCTTCTTAAAGTTTGTTAGTATTTCAGTCCAAAATCAGACACGTCTCTGTCTGGGGTGTTATTTACCGACAGGTTAAAAAGGGAAGGGCTGATTCTCACAGCTGCTGCGTGCCCACAGCTCCCAGTGGCTTCAGTGGGAGCTACAGGCGCCCAGCAGCACTGAAATCCAGCCCTAAATGACTTGCCCAGTGACTGTGGTGGGGGTGGGACCAGAATCCAGCAATTCTAATCTTAGCTGGAGCACAAGGGCAGGTGCTGGCTGTGCGCAACATTAACAAACGTGGGGAACCAGCCGTTTGAAAACTCGGCATTGCAAACGGATTGAGCTAGCTCTGACGTGCTGACCCATAAGAGCTATTGAAAGACGCGTCATAAGAGGAAGCTGTTTAGATTTTAAACTAGTGTCTTCATCCCATTTGCTAGCCTCTTCCTCCTGAACTCAAACTCCCCACTCCCTCCTGAGCCATGAGATTCTTTCCAATCTGCAAAATCTGTTTGTTTCCAACCTGGCAGCCTAGTTTGCTAGCTAGGGCTCTTCTGAAAAAAGAAAATGACTTTTGAGTCTAATGGTTCTGATAAACACACTAAATGGTTGGTATCTCAGACTACCAAACAGAAGGATCCTGCTGTCTTGAGAATAACAAGTGTAAATATCTTTGTTGCAGGATCAAATTATCTTATTTTGCAAAAGGCCCTTTGCCCTCTGTAATGTACTTATCAAGCCACATTGCGCTGTTACGCTTCATCCAAATATAACCCCATTATCTCTGCGATGTTATCTAGCTGCACAGCTGCACGCACTGGCCTTAGTGAAACAGATTGTACAATAAATTGCTTATGCTTAGAAAGGCAATTTCTTTTTGAGATTTCGCTTCATCGCTGGGCCATTTATACAAGAATCATAGAGTATCAGGGTTGGAAGGGACCTCAGGAGGTCATCTAGTCCAACCCCCTGCTCAAAACAGGACCAATCCCCAGATTCCTAAATGGCCCCCTGAAGAATTGAACTCACAACCCTGGGGTTAACAGGCCAATGCTCAAACCACTGAGCTATCCCTCCCCTTTCTGAAGAATATATTAACTGAAACTGTTCTACTAGGACAGTATAGTATTAGCCCAATGGTCTTTTGTGACTGAGTATTGCTCAGATGCTACGGGGATGGGCAATGTTATAAGGTCCTAGGTATATAAACAGGAGAGCCTCACTGCTCTGACCTGATGCACAACAGCCTGCTAGATAGCTGGTGCTTGAGAACGTGTCTTCTAGATTGATCCAGTGACTCAAATCCCCTTGGAACTGTGTCTCCAACAAGTCAGAAGGCTGGAACGATTGCAAGTTGGCTTTGAGTCCTTAGGAGGAGGCAGCAGGATTGCCCAACGCCATCTCATCTCTCGAGCTTTTGGGGAACTGTTAAAATAACCATTGGTATGCCTCATGGCCGGGTCCCTTCCTGCCCTGTAATCAAATTACAGCATTCCTCTTTGACTTAAGGGTACTATGAGATCTAGTGTTACATTTAAAGGCAAAAGCCAAATTTAGCTAGATCCTGTTCTGCTCCCAGCACCGCACTACATAGCATTTTTGCGGAGATGGCCCAGGATGCACCCACTAAGCCATGACATATATCACTGAGCTGGGGCTATTCCACTAAACAAAGAACTAATGAAGCCACCGGAGCCTGAATTTCCACTGGCGTATAAACCAGGCAGAAGTCCATCAAACAAACATTAGCCCTCTCAGCTGGCTGCAGTCATAGCAGAGTCTGACATGAAATGTGACGCCTGGAACTGATGCTGGTTTATTTTTTTTTAATCCGCCTTTTAAAGTAATTTTTACAAAGCGTTTGAAACGGTTATTAAAACCAAGCCAATCCCAGCCAGGAGCACCACGGCCTCAACCCCTGCAGTAAAATACGGGCACAGCCAGGGCTTAAATTCTGCTTGAGCTATGCGGAGCAGAGCGCCAGTAAATATTTTCAAACATGCAGGGCAGAAGCCCTGGTGTCCCCCCGCATAGGGTTAAAGCCCAAGACCCCCCTCCCTGCAGCAGATGCCCCTAGCCCCACCATCCTGCCGCAGGGCAGAAGCCCTGAGCTCCTGCCCACACAGGCTTTTGGGCATGGAGTGTGGAGGAGGTGTCTCTAGGAAATATACTATGAGAATTTAAGCCATGGGCATAGGCAAGTCTAATGATCACATGTCAAACTTAAAACAGAACAGTCTACAAAACATTCAATTATCTGAATACTTATTCCTGAAAAGTGGGTCTGGATTTCTACAACAGCCATTTATGGACCAACAAGTCCATATTCACAGAATTTACCATGCCAGCCATTGGAAGAGGCCCATGCAGCCAGGTTTTGTATTCAAAGAGATACAGTACTACAGTGTTACAAAATAGGAGGATGCGATTCTTTGCAGGCACATGGACACACCCAGGAGAATTTCCTGGCCTGGAATTGCAGCAGGTGTTTTGGCAGCAGAATGAAGTGCTTGGCTTTGCCGTCTAGTCTGTGCTTTTTAGGTTCTCATGCTGCAGCCCCTCTGGGGCATCTGAGCACCTCTTGCCCACAGCAGCCCCTAAGTCTCTGCTCACAACCATCTCGCTTCCACTCCTCGTGCACTGGCTGTGGAAGGAAGCAGCCAGAGAGAAAAGGGGGTCCCTCTCAATGGGGCGGGGGGATGAGACGGAACAGCTTCCCCCCCCTCCCCCCAAAAAGATAGTCCTCCAAGGGTCAGCCAGACTCAGATTTGCAGTTCAAGGGCCCAGGCCTGATCAGCAGCTTCCCTTCATTTTGCAAGGCCTTGCAAAGAGCACCACAGACAGCAAAGGGCAGCTGCGATCAGTCGTCTGAGCTCAGCAAATACTGCAGCATTGGTTAGCCAAATCCAAACCCACTGCTGTGAAACCCACAGTAAACTCAAGCCAAGACTTAAATACACTGAACATTTCCTGAGCTCACCAGAGTGCACAGAGACGGCCCCTCGCCCCTCCAGAGCGGGCTAGCGTTCTTCTCACACCTTACACACAATATTGATCCACTCTTCATATGCCACTGGCCGGCACCGCCACAGCAAAAAAGCATCTCCTAGCCCCTAAGTCCCATGAAGCTGGATTTGCGACACCAATACAATCAGAGCAAAGAAAAGTGAGGGCACACCAGATAGTCGAGACAGTGGGACCAGTCTGTTGGGTGGAAAGAGAAGCAGAGAGGCAGAGGGCCTAGCAAAACAGGATCATCTCTGTGTCCAACTTACAGCCATCAGATGGCAGGGTAGGTGGGCTGGGGAAACGGAGAAGTCAGTGCTTGGAGGGGCTGAGGGAGCTAGTGTGCATAAGGCATCAGTTATGGTCAACGGGGCACGTGTTGTTCACCAAACATATCCTGCCGCCCGCCCCTTGTTGCATCTGAGCCTCATTCCCTCCCGGGGAACAGCCCCCCCCGTGTCATGTCTGCGCAGCAGAAGGAAAAAGCTGGGGACTGGTCTCGCAGAGCTGAGCCACTCCTGCAGCTGGAGGCGGCCATGGCGGAGAAGAAGGACCCCCCCATCCCTCATTTGGACTGTCTATCAGTCAGATGCGCAGGTGCCAGCCCAGGGAAGGGGCAGCTCCCAGGGAGCGCAAGACACAATGTATCATCCTTATTTAATTTAGCCGAAGCTTTGCGGAGCCCAGGTGGCAGCACACGGAGGGAGGCCTGGGGAGTGCCTTGATGTGGAAAGTCACTCCTGCAAAGTCAAAGCTGTGCATTTAATACTCTAACATGCTAGGCTAAAGAATCAGAATCCTCTCCCAGCCAGTGACACTGATGGCTCAGCCAGTGACACCAGATGTCCCTATCCAGCAGAACTGGCTCTCTTAGCCCAGTAGCCAACTCTCCAGCTGTTGACTCTCCCCAGGACACCCTTCAGGAGTGGCTTCTTGGAATTCCCATCTCCAGATTCAAACCGTCTTGTGCCTTGTCTCCCATCATACCCACCCACATTCACAACCGAACTGCCCCCAAGTGCAGCATCTGTTACTCTTGCCTAGTCACTGGGCATAGACCCGACGCTGAAATCACGCCAGGCAAAAAGAGATGCCCAGCTGGCTCTCGATGTCTGGTCATGCAATGCCAAGTTCTGGTGCGCAGAGAGTAGCCCTCAGCCGCTGATTAATTCAGGCAGACTCAGTCTTCGGGACAGCTGGACTCAGCCCCTTATCTGCGCAGACAGTTGGCTTTTCTTCCCTGTACATCTGTCAAGCCATCTTGAACAGTGACCTATGCTCAGCCCTGGAGAGCGTCCATGTCTGTCCTGTCATGGACGCTCTCTGGCATGTATTTATGTGGTGGTTTGAGGGCCTCCATCAGCTGGGTGTTGTGATGCATCAGCTTGCCCTTCACACACCCCATGATCTCAGTGAGCTCAGTCAGGGTATCGCTCTGCAGGCAAGCTGCAGGATTGTCCATCACACACATCCCTGATTCCATCCAGAAGATCACAAGGAAATACTGGATGTTCTTCACACCCGTGCATCTGGATCACGCTCCCCTGGCACTGAGCCTTGCTGTGCTAGCACTCAAATTGCCGCTTCCTGACGATGTTCTTCTCCTGGGGTTGCCAGCTGGCACCAGCATGATGCTCTTGTTGCTGTACAGCATCACGCAGGTGGGGAAGAGCTGGGTGGCCAGGAAGCCAGGCGGAGCGATACCAGCTGGCAAACTATAGCATCGCTGACACGTTTTCAAAAACTTATTTTATCAGTTTGATTCCGCCCCCCCGCCGCCCAGCTTACTGTTACCAACCTAGGTTCCAACCTGAGGCTGAACAGCTGCCCTGTTCTAATTACACCGAGCCTGCCATACAGCCCTCTTTGCAGACACCAACTGGAGACCCAGCTGCTGCTGGCAGGTGCAGGAACTGAATAACTGCGCAGGCCTGTGGCAATGGATTCACTCCATAACACGGCTCCTTTCCCTTAGCCCTCTCTCCTGACCCCTCTGGCATCAACACAGGCCGAGACTCAGCTGCTGGAACAACAATCTCACCTGCGAAAAGAGACAACTACTATCTGTGACACCACCGGATGCAGCTATAGACTGGGCGCCTTGGGGAACCACATGCCTGAGAAAAACACCAAAAAGGTGCTCAGTGGACACCCTCTCTCTACGGCTAGGTACAGAGCTAGCGTATGTGCTTCTGGTGCTGCTCACTGTGTGCCAGGCACTGCCCAAACAGGAGGGCAGACACGGTCCCCACTCTGAAATCCTGAATTTTTTTTTTTAATAAATGCATTCATAGAACTAACAACAGGCTGTAAGTCTCTTAATGGAGTTGCCATCCTTAGAGTTTCCATCAGGTACCTCTAAACCACTGTGCCCCAGAGTGCTGGTTGCTCCCTCTTTGCTCACCTCCTGCAGGCTGCAGCCTAGACGGGGGCCCTGGGTCGCTGGCCAGAGCCCAATCCAGAACTCAGTTCCCTGCTTTCCACTGCTGCTGTCGGTCCCTTTATCACATCCTCAGGCAAAGGAGGAGGGAGGTGTGTCTATAAGTGAGCAGCTGATTGTCTCCTCCCAGGCAGGTCATGTGAAGCCAGCATTTGGCCATTA